CAATGGTGTTCAATCTCTCAAATGAGTGTCTCTGTCTGTACTACCGGCACGGTGGAAGAAGCAGTGCATCGGGCATTGGGCAATGCAACAGCTGGCTGGCTAGATTGCGAGTCGAATCTTGGAAACTGATTAGGTGGAGGGCGGTGGAGGATGCTATGTCTAGTTTGAGTAGAATGAGGGGCCTACCTTAGTCTCCAAAGATTCGATTGACCAGTAGTGCTTAGATCTACTTTGAAGATCCTTCTGCTGTTTGCCACAACGGAGGTGTTGTTGTGTTGCGGTGGTTTGGTGACGGGAGTCAAGTCTGGAAACTGGAAACTGGGTGGCTGCGAATCCTTTGGGGTCCTGAATAATCTTCTGTTTTCTGCCGCGACCAAGACTGAATGGAAGTTCAACCTTCTGCGAAGGCACTTTGGTACTAGTACATGTAACAGCTACCGAAGCCTCGAAGTACAGTCGTACTCAGTATGCATTTTGTGTACAATGTGTACCACTGTACCACTTTTACTCATTTATTTACCGCAAGTACGCATGTACAATTTACAGAAATGCGAGCAAGGTTGAGGAGCACTTTGTTGTAAAAAGACCGTGCTTTTGTGATCTGAAATACAGGTACTAGCTAGAACTCTTCTAAATGAACAGTCAGCATCACCAGCAACAAAACTAACTATTCTGGTAGTCGAGGAGCCAAGGCTTCTATGCACACAGCACATTCATCATGCGAGTGTTTTTGTTCTGTTGGGTGTTCGGTATGCATACAATAGTAGTCTACCTGTCATCTGTCATCAGCAGCTGTGCACAGGCTAGCCGCTAGCTAGCAGCTTCATGTACCACATAATACTTTCAATTACATGTAGGCCTACATGTACAGCGAGCACTCGACTCGTCTCTCGAGTGTTCGAATGTCGAGCTATGTCGAATGGCTAGTACTGTAGCCATTGTCAACTACTGGAAAGTACCTTTGAAAGGTATCTCAAATCTCAAGGCTCCAGGCAGAAACCCGAGTGCATCTTTTCATCTTTTCTCGTTTCTCCGGTCCGGTTGTTGCCGCTGTCTTCATCCTTACGGGTACCTGGTACTACCGTATCAAGCCCGCTAGCTAGCCGCTAGAGCCAGCTAGCTCTAGCTTGGTACTCAGTAGCCAGTGGCTACTAGTAGCCACCGAGCTGGTACAATGTCACGATAATAATATGTAGATCTAGTCTAGCTTCTTGCTTCTTGTGAGAAGTTCAATAAGAAGAGACAATGCGTTTTTGCTTTTCACCCTGGCACCTTGCACTAGACACATCATAATGTCCCTTTTATGGGCTAGGGGAGCTGATTACGTGTGCGTACTAGTTAGCTATTAATAGACTGGGAGGATGACTGTCGAAATTGAGTAGTGGTACAGAGAGGCAAAGATTCGATTCAACAGTTAGTTGGTGATTACGAAAGGACAGAAGGTCCAAGGAGCTGTCCAAGGTCAGGGATCAGGAGGTCACCTAGATTCATAGAGGTATGGTGTTCTGTACCAGTACCAGTATGATAACCTTTCTTTCGCCTATGGGGCAGGTGAGGCCCTATTTGACTTTATGGGGGGGTTAGGCATGAGCGCGAGGGGAGGGAATAAGAAGAAGAGGGAAGGTTTATCGGTTGAGTTCCAGATTCCGGTTGGAGAGCAGGCAGTGGCTAAAGATCTGGTCACGAAGATGCCAGTAATGACCAGAAAGAGGGGAAAGGCAAATGACCGTTCGGCTCCTCCTAGTAACCTACGATCCGAAGAACATGTATATGCAGCAAATACGTCACCAGAGAGGTTCGTTGATCAAATTCAAATTATCCAAACGGATATTCCCGACTCCTTCTGTGGTTTCTGTTCCCAATCCTTCGCTGACACCAAACCCTCCCACAATTCGAAATTTCGACACCACAGCCACAGCGACGTCCTACACCGGGTAAGAATGTTGTTGTTACTGTTTGACAATGGCGGTTGTTGTTTGCGATAGCTAATGATTGCTAACACTATTATCTTGTCCTCTGCTGCTACTGTTGTTACTTTGGCTGAAGAGTCGTTCGATCGCTCTCAACCGAACGGCGTGCAACCAGATCGGACGACACCGTGACTCCTTCCTCTACCGACACTCCTAAACGGTACGTTAAGTATATTTGAATTTTTGCGACATACTTCCTGACGTATTAGCTTGATTAGCCAATCAGATTTCTGCCTTCTACCGCTTTCGCCCACTGGCAGCCACCGCAGGGAGAAAAGGGGGACCGAGGTGGTTAGACGTTAACGGCTAACGGTCTAATTACCATGCGTGAGAGGGTGTCTTCTTTCGATCGTGGGTGTTGAAGTGATTACCGGTTAACACGATTGAAGGTCCTTACCGGTGAGGTTGAGACGGGGGATGTCATAAACGGGAGTGAGAGTCATGGGTTGGAATGACGTACTTCATAAGACGCAGGCGCAGGAAGCACAGATGGGAGGGGTTGAAGAGATTGACCAAATCAGAACGGTATTTTGAGGGGGTGCTTCGTGGAGGTGGATCTAGGGGGTTTAAGCAGTGGCTGTGTAGTAAACCCATTGACATTTTCTTGGTGAAGAAGGCACCACTGATTGTTGATTAATTGGATTGATTTAGTAACATGACGACCATGGCGAATTCTATTGCTAACAGGGTACCCATGAGCTCGGGGCAGGTGCAAGTGTATCTACAGGAACACTATGGAGTTCCAATTGTGTTGAGAGAGCAGGGAGAGACGAATATCAAATGCCCATATTGTCTCAAGTTGTATGAACACGGGCTACAGACTGGGCATCATGTGGCGGGGTGTGACGACTGCGATCGGTTCAATGGGATAGGAATTGTTGTTGGTGAGAGATACTTTGTTCCAAACTACGGCTACACTATTTTTTTGTATAAGGAAAGGGCTGGGGTAAATGAATTGGTTGTTCACGAGATGAGTTAAATTAGGATATCAGTCATGGATTGGAGTAAAAAGATTAGTGCAATACACGGCTCTTAGCCTTATTCGCGACTCGATCCTAGATAGGGTTTGAGTTCGACTCATGTCAAAACATTTGAAAGATCTTTACACTTGTTTTTAGCGTAGTGCATTTTTGTTAACAAACACAAAAGCTTTCCAGCTACCCTCAATCTTTTCCTTCACCATGAAGATGGCTCAAGGGAAGCATGCGTTCCGCAACTTTGAAAAACAGTTGCGTGACAAAACCATTCTTCCTCTCGTCGACAATGACGAAGAACACGAGATCGACGGCACTCGTGCCACCACTTGCAAAACTTCGCAACCATTTTTCCAAGCGCAAATCAGAAAGACTCTGACAATGAGGACAAACTCCTCTATCAATTTCAATCACTTGGATGAGAAATCTCTATCTGAGGTCTAGGCCAGGATGATGACTACACGGAACCCTGTTCCGATTTCTCAAACCAAAGTGAGAATGAATATCTCACTAACTAGTAAAACAAGAATTGGTTGCAACTGATGAAACTCTACGGCAAATTAGAGAATTGCCTAGAAGCTGCTCAACTTTACTCTGATGATCTATTTAACATCATTAACCTCGTCCGTTGCCAAACACCTCGTACCGTCGCAGAAGGAACTCACACGTTATTTCCAGAGCGTTACCCTGATGAGCAAATCGGACAGTGTTGAACACAGTGAGTCATCATCCTGCCTAATCCTCCAGATAGAGATTTCTCCATCCAAGTGATTGAAATTGATAGAGAAGTTGTCCTCATTGTCAGAAACTTCTGATTTGCGCTTGATGCTCGGCAGACGATGGGTTGACAGAACGTTCATGCAGTATAATCGTCCACGGGAATAGCGATATCCGCCTCAGATTTCGATCCCGTGTTCTTCGTCATTGTTTACGAGAGGAAGAATGGGTCTGTCACGCAACTGTTTTTCCAAAGTTGCGGAACGCATACTTTCCTTGAGCAATCTTCATGGTGAGGAATAGGTTGTGGTTAGCTGAAAGCTATTGTGATTGTTAACAAAATGCACTACGCTAAAAAGCTAGTGTAAAGATCTTTCGAGTGTTTTGCGTTTGAGAGAATGAAAGTTATGAGCAGAATAGGAAAGCTTTGAAAAACTAATCAACGACAGAGATCACCATCAAAAGGATCGTAGATCTTGTTTCCCGCGGGAGACTATAAACTGTGTGATGTAGAGTAGGTTGTGGTAGTAATCCTACGTCTCTCCACGATCCTTAAAAAACGACGCGTGGAGGTTTGTTTAGCCTGGATCTAGTAGCGTGAAAGTACTCCAGCGCTGGGCTAAATATCTAGAGCGCAGTTTCATCATCAACCTAGTATGACTAGCAGCGGTCATTGAGAACCTGTCTCAAATGACTATCACGAGAGACTTCAGT